TTTTTGCATTACACGCCAAAGGTAAAACCGTGGGAATTCCTAACAGCAAACGTCGGCTGAATGGAACTGCTCAAAACGCATAATCGCACCGGCTATCCTGGTGCGCGCTGCTATTTATTTTGCTTGCATTTGTGGACTTCTTATCCTACGTTGCATCCCCTGGGTCTCTTAAGGATACACCGAAAACGGTGCGGCTCAATATGACAGTCTGAAAACTTCGTGGCCTGACAAGATGACTCAGAAAAATTGTGGTGTAACACAAGTCACTGTTCATGTTGGTGTTGGTATTACCGCTGAATTATATTTTTGCAGACAAGTGAATAATATGATCGGCGAGGTTGGCGGAATTACGCCTCTTCTAACACCGCCCAGGCAGCCGCCGAATAGTGACTCCCCATCACTGCCAGTTCTGTTGGATCTCGGCGCACTAGATGCGCCTCATTTGGAACGATTAAGGAAGAAGTACCGCTATGCAGTAAGTTTCAAATTGGTAGCCTAAAATTTGTTCTCAGAATTTTCTTCCATGCTAATTCTGCTAATCTTTTCGCCAGACTCATGTGTCTGGACTTTCCGGATCAACTCTGTCAGTTTCGTTCTTTTTTTCTCCGTAAATTTCGTTTCATAACACGACAGTCAGGTTGTTTATTATGCAACCGGGAAAGAAAAAGGCATTAACTGGTGGAATGGTCGTTACTGGTGCGTGCTGCCACTCCAGTTACATCCGAGAGTCTCCGCTTCCCACGGAAAGCAAATGATGAGGGATTGCTCATCAGTTACTGACTTTCTACGGCCTGCCAGTTTTTTTCTTCCACCAATTGCTTGATTTATAGTTGTTTTATTTTTACTGTTTTTAAGCGTAGAGGAAAAGTGGGTGACCCTGCTGTCAGATAGCTGCTGCTGGCATCTACTGCCTATTTCCCCTTAATAAAAAATAAACAGTGAATGAGTGGAAGTGTTTTAATTTCTTGAGCATTTCCAAACTACAAAATCAGAGCCACCATACTTCTGTTCTTCAAAACGATCTGAAGAGTTGATGAGGAGCTGGAAACTTTCAAACGAAAAACCTCCAATAACTCGCATAAGATTACCAAGATTGACACTATTGCTAGTAATAGACTGCATATTGGAGCAGTTCATGCATTGCTAATGTGCCTGCGCCGAATTCACAGTTCATCATCACGAGTGAAAGGGGTTGCCAGGTTTCATTCGAATGCTGCTATTCTTCAGCGGCAGGCCAGTGCATCACTCAGTTTTGGCTAACTTCCAGTAACCGCGCTGTTGTACGCATCCAGTGTTACAGACACACACGTACACACACAATAGTATAGTTATTTACCGACTTTCGCGATGCCATACAGTTCGCATAACATGTACGTTAGGTAGCGGTATTGCTAGTGTATGATAGTTTTGCATGTAATATCTGCGCAGTATTATGACCTACGTGAATCTGTTGTAGTACGCGTCGGAAATCGCAGCACCGAGTGGCGTCCTTTCACCTCCACAGCGACCATGTTCGGTGCAGTCGTCTACTTCCACTATCAAAACATCGGAGCAGTCGATTTCATCGGCCAAGGCAATCTCGAAAAGTTCCGTCAACAATAACAGTATTACCAGCAACACAACACTGGCAACAGTGCCATCT